TTATCATTTAGCTTGAACAATGGTAGCGCAGATGCATATGTCATAAATACACACCCCAAACACACACAGCACATAATATTTATAAATGATTTATAAAAATTTGTAAATATTTATAAAAATTTAAATATATATGTATAGTAAAGAATGGCTCAAAAGAATTAAAAAGTAGAATAAATTTAAGAATAGCTACGAACCAATTAAATAAAAAGTAACATGTGAAATAAAGTGACTTTAAAATAGACATAAAATTAGAAAGAGGAACAAATTATATTTATTAAAGACTAAAAACTAACGTTTCAACCGCAATCGGGTCATTTTCAAAGTTCAAGTAGAAGTATATAAATAGCGGAAAATAAAAATTAACATGCGTATAAAAGTCGAAAAATAATAATTATAAATAGTACTTCGCTGTCTAGGTCACAACATAAGTCGCATATAGTTGACAATAATGCCGATATTAGATCCATATACAAAATTTAAGCTGCGTGTCTAATACACCAAGAATATGTAGTTGTTAATCCTCATATTTCGAAAGTATTTCATAGATCATAGTGCAGAAAGATAAATTATAAGAGTCCGGTTCATGACCCAAACAAACGAACAGTCGTACAAACATATCGTAAGTCAAAAATCCAGATTCTACAGTGAAAACCGAAATAAAAAATTTAAATATTTTATAAATATTTGTGTGATTTTGAGGCATTCCACGTCAAACAAGATATTTTTAAATTACCGTCATTTTTAATTTTTTTTTTTAATTTGTTGACATTCTACAGATAAAAATAAGATACGTGTTTCGCGAAATAAATTTTTTACCGGGAAGGAATATCTAAATAAAAAAAATGCTAGCATCTTAAAAAAAGTTTACATTAAATATAATCCCGCCAGAGTTCTTATATCATATGAGGTGTTGGAGGTATTTACATCCTAATTATTAAAAGAGCTGGTGACGATGTGTGGTACTGGATTGAATATTGGTGATTTAGACGAAGGAACGGGCAGAACAAAAATTAAGAACAAGGATAAAGATAAAAAATTAAGAACCGAAAAAAATCGTAAAATTTTACCAGTTCGATTACGGTTTCGGTTCCGGTTCACTAAAAAAAAAAAGTTCCAGAACGGTTTTTTGATTCCGACTTCGATTCTGTCCGCGAGTTCCTAGTTTAAATAGTAAGAACTTAACTATAGTTCGTTTATTTGGAACTGAGCATTAACTTGTTTAAGTGATAGAGATAATCGAAATTCTAACATATTACTTCTGCATGTGCAAAATTGTTGCACTAAATACACCGTTTACCTTGGTAAAACTTTTGTTTTTATTTATTTAGGCGAAGTCAAAAAAATCTTTAATATGCCGAAAACTAGTACAATACCTGGTTTGGTTTATCTGCCGGCGAGAGATAATCCGTCAAAAACCCCGATGGGTTTTATCGATGCTAGAAGAAAAGTCGACGGCGCGGAAGGATTATGGAGGATCGGAAACAAACTTTATGATTTGGAAACCTTCGTGAAATCGCACCCAGGTGGATCTGAATGGCTTCGGATCACGAAAGGAACCGATATCACTGAATTGTTCGAGGTATTGAATTGAATTCATTGCAGAATTAATTATAATTCATATATCTTGGACAACATTATCATAATCAGTCAATTTTTTGCTTGAAGTTATCAATCATTGTATTTTTAATTAGTCATTACTAGTCATTATTTATTATATTATTATTATTATTATTATATTTTTATAACAATTTTTATATAATTGCTTTTCAATAATTTTATTTATATATAAACCCACGGCTGTATAACTTTCTATTCGCTCTACTTCTTTCGTTTTTATATTATATAATTTGCAATATTCCTTGAAAAATTTGAGATTTACCGCTACGATTCCCGTGTTCAGAATTTTGAATCTTAACATTGTTTCCGTCATGTAGGCCCACCACATTACCGACAAGGCTGAACGACTTTTGCCCAAATTCTACGTTCGGGAAGCCACAACACCACGGTCGGTGCCTTTGACTTTCTTGCCAGACGGCTTCTATCGTACATTCAAGAGACGGGCGACCGAAGCTTTGAAGAAGGTTAATTTTCATAAATCGTCTACAACGACGAATCTCATCACCGATTCCTTAATGACAGCGACTTTCACGTTAAGTCTCATGGCTGCCTTCATCCACTCCTATGCTATTCTGATCCTTGCCGGTAAGAAACCATGAAATCTATTTGACGTATGTGTGTGTGTGTGTGTGTGTGTGTGAATTATAATTAAGATATAAATAAATTAGCTAAAGAATTGAAATAATAAATATATATTCGTTAATAAGAGTCATAAAAATAATAATAATTGTAATGCTTAAGAAATGTTAAAAGCAACGATGAGTTTTAGATGAATATATTTATTAATTAATTAGCTCTATATTAATTATAATTATTAAGCGTGAATGCATTAATCAATTGGTTTATTTGATGACAATTTTAGGCCTTTGTTTGACATGGACGGCTAACGCGGCACACAATTATTTCCACATGAGAGACAATTTTCGTATGTATTACTTCGATCTGAGTATGCTATCTTCGAAAAATTTCCGCATCACGCACGCAATGAGCCACCACATGTACCCCAACACCATATGGGATTATGAGATGTACGTGGTCGAGCCGTTTGTACAATGGATGCCTCGAAAGGATAAATCCTACTTAATGGGAGTGATAAGCAAAATTATCAGTCCCATCGTCTGGATGTTAATGTATATTGTGGAAGGCATAAAACGGTAATAGAATCATTCCATATTCTTATGTTATAATTAATAGAAAGGTTTTTCGCTTGTATCTTCACTTTGAATTCTTAATTAAACATCTGCTGTGTTAATTCCAATTATGATATCGCGTTTGTCGGCGCTGAAAAATTTGTTGAATGGATTTCCATTTCTGTCTCTCGCACTAAAAGATTTAATTATTTTTAGATACTATTTAGTGTACAAGTATGGGGTTTTCGAATTTCGTGATTTTATGCCATTCTTGCTACCTATATCGATGAGTTTGGTAGCGCCCAAGATTCTCATTGCATTGAAGTTATGGTTGATAATGTTGCTGATTAGTAGCACTTTATTCGGCTTAATCGGCTTCAACGCGGCCCATCATCATCCTGATATCTTTCACGATGGCGATATCTACAGGTTACACATCATTCGCGTTTTATTTATAATAAATCATTGAATCAATCAGATCTATCTATTTTTAGAATCGATTAGATCTATTTTGTTTTCCTCCATTCAAAGATAATTCAAGTAAAATAATTTAATTTAAAAAAAAATTGATTTAACTTTAAATTTAGATCTATCATTAATTCAATTGATTTAATTTTCATACAACTTTGATTTTATCTTTAATTTTCCAATTTCGATTTGGATTTTAAAATTAATCCGCCTAGCATTAATCTCAATTTTAATTTCGACGCAATCTTAATTTTTCAATAACAAAACATTTTTGTTGCTTTGCAAAATGCTCAAAGGAAATTTTTCGTAACTTTTCTAATTATTACAATATTTCCAAGAAATGACATGGACTGGGGTTTGCTCGAGTTGGACGCCGTGCGTGATCGTGTGGATATCGACAAATCATTATTCCTAATTATTACGAACTACGGCTCGCACACGTTGCACCATCTGCTACCCACAGTGGACCATCACTACTTGCCATTATGCGTGCCTGCTTTTCTGAAGACGTGCGAGGAATTTAACGTCAGCTCGGATAAGTGGACGCAATGGAAGCTTCTAAAAGGACAATTCAGACAGATCATGCGAACTGAAGTGAAGAAGAATCACAGATAATGCTCATCTTCAACGAAATAACGTGCTCAATCGCGGATGTTGAATTGTTATGTGCATTACGTATAATTTCTTACGTATCAGTTTATGATGTAAGCATAAGCGCTTCGGGCAAACATGTTCCATACAGCACATTTTATACAAGAGACATCTTAGGTCCTTAAGACGTTCAGAGGATATACAGATATTCTTTGGACATCTTTAGAAGGTCTGTGCTGTGTAGAATGTAAACGAGATAACTAAAGTAGTTAAATTACATGCATAATTCTAAATAAGTTTTATGAGTAGAAGTGAAACTCAAATCTGGATATAAAATAGAAAAATAAATTGACAATGATAATTCTATTTTATTTTAAGAAACGAAAAAATTTACGGGAATATCTCCACTTAAAATACTTTATCTATTAAAACCAAAAATTATTTTTTATGATTATTTTTGTTGTACGATTGTGTTTTATATAATAAATTAAGTTGATAATTAAACAACTAAAAAATTTCTTCTCGTTTAAGAAGATCGATACTTGATGTGCAACGAACTTATAAGGTTGGAGCACAGGGTAAAGGCTGAAGTATTGGCCTTTGCATAACGCATAATGCATAAAGTTTAAGTGAATCAACCAATCAGAGCCTTTCCTTTCCATGAAACGAAGGACTCCAATTAATTATCTTATGGACTTTCTATAATAAGTTATTATCTAAATTTTAAGGTCTTGCGCACACAATGGAGGAAATATTAGGAATAGGAATAAATATTAAGATTTCAACCTATCAGAAACCGTGTATTCCGGTATAACTGGTATCTGGTAGGTTGAAATTTTTATATTTATTCCTGTTCCTAATATTTGTTCTATTGTGCGCAGGCCCTAAGTCTTAAATCATAAGAAATTAACTAATCACAGTCGAATATGAGAAAAATAACTGATTGGTCAATTTCTTATAGCTTAAGACTTACAGTTTAGGTAATGACTTATTGTAGAAAGCAACGACATATATACATAGACCAAGCATTCCCATGTTTTTCAGTGGTGGGAGTTGAAGCCGGAAATTGACAGTTTATGTGGCGTTTTAGGACCCGTGCTATTTCATTCTCTCGCACTGCTCTCATCAAAATAGAAAGAGACACCACGGGTCCTAATCCAGCTTCAAGCTACGGACAGAATACTTGGTCTATGTATATATGTCCTTGGTAGAAACCCTATTATACTTCATGTATTATACGTTTGCAAAGGTTTTGTGCTCCGACCTTTACTCTAGAATCTTGGATTTTATGAGCGGATGATCGACAAGCGGGGCAACTTAGTTCTTATCTTTATTTATTGCTTATTTACTTTAATAAATACATACTTCGTCTCTCTTTATAAATTACAATTAAGTTTATAGGATACGATATCATTCGGATGACACGTGTAATGATACGCGCTGTTGATCAAATCGTTCATCGCGACTCGCTTTCGTTCTGCTTCCCGCGAGTATATATCCTTGTTCTCTTTTCTCGATCTCGTTTTCAATTTGCGCTCGACTTTTTTGCTCGCTATGTGTTTGTCGCAACTCGCGAGAGCGTGTATTCATAAATATGTATTCGTCGCTATGTAAATATTAATATATCTGTGTCGCGCTGGCTCTCGCCCTCTCATCGTCCTCTCGCTCGATCTCTCTCGCTCACCCACTCTCACTCTCCCAATCTCTCCCTCTCTTTCTCTCTCTCCCTTTCTCTCCTTCGACTGTCAGCTCGAGTGGTGAAGAAAAACGCGTCCTCGCCTCTCTTCACTCTCGCCCTCAATCCTCTCCTTCTCGAGCGAGCGCTAATTTTTCCACTTTTTCTCTTTTTGACCGATTAAACAATAACATTTATTATCGAGAAAAATGACGAGAATTCAATGATCCGGATGTGATGATACTGATTGATCGATCGCTCGATTACGAGATGACGATGCCGTTGAGAGCTCCGAGCGAGCTCTCGGATTCGTTACATATACATATATTCTTCGTGTCTTCGTTCGACGATGAATTCGATGAGGACAATTATGTTTTTCCTCCTCCTCTTCTTCTTCTTATTCTCCGGATGTATTTTTACTGTTGAATTTTTGATTCTTTTTTTTTTGGTTGCTTTTACTAATTATTTACGCGAACCTCGGAAGAAGCTTTACAGTTCACCATCGGGCTGCATGTCGAAGCCGGGAAAACGGCGAGGTAATAGGGGACCATCTAATTCAGGTTTTAACATAGGTCGGTGTGGCTGAAAAAACAGAGATACAGAACTGTGAATTTCTTATGAGTAATAAATATAAATACGGTGAGATATTCGCGCGAATTTTACAATAGAATTTTGTACGGATTTGTATAAGAAGGAAAAAAGGGGAAGAGGGACGAGTGACACGTTCTCTGTGTCGTTCCTGCTTGTGATCCAATGTTCTTTGTTTTTCTAACCCCCTGCACTCGAAATGCGCGAGTGGGATCGCAATGACGCACCGAGGGTCGTGACACCTCTATTTTGCCGCGTGATAAACGCAACATGTGCATTTCTTTTAAAAACGGGACATTTATCTCAGACACTCGTAACTGGTGAGTATTAGTTACATTTCTTTCTTTTTGAAAAATCGAAATTAAGTCGCAGTTCCTGTTGATAGCGAACTGTTAGCGTATTGTTAAATATAATTTCAAGATCAACAATGACGATGTACATTGGCGAGGACACTGGAAGAATCTACCTGCATTAAAAAAATCGAATAGACGAAAGTCTGACTCAAATAAGAGCGAGCGTGAATAAAAGAGACTTAAATAAATCACGAGAATTTGAGGAAATTGATACATATCAGAAATGTATAAAATTGTTTGTGGATAATCTCAAAAAAATTCATTCATAAAAAGAAATGTCTAATTTTGCTGTCAGATTAGCGAGAAGTATTAAAAATGTGCGAAATACTATGCTTTAAACACATGGAAACCGATATAATAATAATCGCACATTTGAGAAATTGAAATTTTAAATTTATCCATATATCTAAAAAACAATAAAAGTCATATCGTGATAAATTTATCTCTTCGATTGTCTAACTTTTCAGATAACTAAGTATATTAATTTAATGTCTATATTGCAAATTTTATGTGAAGGACGTCCTGGGAACGTTCTTAGGAGGTAAACGTCTTTTAGAACATAGGACGTCGTCTTCTGAACGATTTTAAGACGTCTATGCTGTACGTATCAATATTCAATAAATAAATAAACCAGTCCAATTTATTTCTCAAATATTGGTTGATTCCGTTAGCTACTTTTTCACACACAGCTGATGCTCGGCTTCTAACTGCTCTAATTTCTAACGTCGTCTATACGGCGTTTACCAACTCGCAAGTAAATATTGTACAGAGAAAAGGACTAGGTGTGCGATTTACACAAAGTTAATGACGAAGAGCAAGCTCGGGACCACCCGAGAGGATGTTATCGGACACATAGGTGCAAACGAGACAATGATGGATGCAAGAGGGAGTCTCTACCGCGCGTGTTTCTCTCGCGTTTCGTAAACTCCTGCTTGTAATCACTCTCGCTCCCTCTCTCTCTCTCTCTCTCTCTCTCTCTCTCTCTCTCTCTCTTTCACTCTCTAACTATTCAGCCAACTATTTTCTTCTCTTTCTAAGTAATCGTCACACATCCCACGCGCTTACGACACCCCACGTGCACGGACTTACATGGACCAAGCGCGGTGTGTGTGCGTCTACTCCAACATGGAGGGCGCCGCCTTACGTTTCTGTTGCGGCTGCACACAGGAAGACACAGATCGCTAATTAGATATCATCATCGTCGATCTGTTCCCTAACATCGCTTCCCTTTACTCCCAATCCCGTAATCGAACTTTGAGATTTGCAATCACCGAACCTATCTTTCGTCCGCGCCGTCGATATTGATATTAATCTAAGTGCGATCAACTTCCAATCTTCTCGATGAAAAATAACTTTACTTTTTTTATTGTGATATCTAGCGGATACGTATATTCTCAATCTGACAAGATGTAACATATGTATATTTCGAATTTAAAATACATGTCGCTAAATTAAAATTCTTCTTGATCAAAGCTAAAAAAAGTAAATTAATAAAATTAAATAAAGTAAAATTAATAAATAAAATTTAATTTAAAAATCAATTCACTTCAAAGTAACTAAAGGCTATTCCTTTGGAGGATTAAATAAATATATCTATTATTTTATTATCAAGAATAAATTACTTTGAGGACGTCAAAAACGATATTTATTGAATTTTATCTAAATATCCATGTTAATCTTTAATTCGCAATGTTATTGTTTTTTTTGTAAAATTCTTCTGTAATACTATAAAATTAAATTTTTAGTCAATAGATATTCGCGGAAGATATTCAGCAACGAAAGAATTAAAAATGAAACGGAAGTGTATGACAGTGCACTTTTGACATCGCGAATTAAAGATTAAATATAAAGATGATGATAAGGTTGTCATATCAGGTTTAATAGCTTACCGCTGGGCTGAGTCCACGCGCGGCACTTCCGCCACGTCCCTTGGTGCGGAACTTGGTGATTGCCTGTTCAGCGAGGTCCGCCCTCTCCTCAGCTTCCTCGAGTTCCTGTTGCGCCTTGCGGAACTTGGCAAGATTCAACGCGGCAATTTCCTCCGCTTCCTCGATCTGTCTCTTATATGTCTTGATCTTCTGCTGAAGCTTGTCAACCAGATCCTGCATGCGCTCGTGATTCTTACGGTCCTCGTCCGCCTGGAAAAGATAAATGGGATCACTTCAATAAGACTCCTTCATGCTCGATAAGTGAATCAGATTGATGATAAAATCAAACCAAATAAATAAAAAGTAATTAAATTTAAAAATAAAAGGTTCAACATCTTGTGATAAATGTCCAACATCTCTCTTATCGATTGCGAAAATATTAATCTATTTTTTAAAACAAAATACGTAGATTGAACTTCCAATTCGAATAGATTTATGACAAATCGGAATTCTACCTGGAAGCTCAGCTCCTTGATGCGGCGCTCGGATTTGCGCAAGTTCTTCTGGGCGTCGGCATGTCTCCTTTGTTCGCCATCGAGCTCGTTCTCCAACTCGCGCACGCGTTGTTCCAGCTTCTGAATAGCCTTCTTGCCACCCTTGAGGGCATTCGCCTCGGCCTCGTCCAGGCGCACTTGCAACTCCTTGATCTGCGTCTCCAAGGCCTTGCGCAGCTTCTCCTGAGTCTGGGCATGATCCTGCTCAGCGCGTAGCTCATCGGCCAACCTAGCCGCGTCCACCATCGCCTTCTTCGCCTTCTCCTCCGAGTTCTTCGCCTCGTTCAGCAACTCATCCAAATCGGACTAATGGGTAAAGAAATGCAAGCTGTGTAAACCACTTATCCCTTTTATAAGAAATGTTTTATTAAATTATAGAAAATTAATCGACACTCACGTGGAGGGTCTGCAATTCGGCCTCGAGTTTCCTCTTGGCGCCAGAAATGGAGGCATTCTGGGCACTCAGTTCGTTCAACTGTTCGTGACAATCAGCAAGTTCCTGCTCGGCCTGGCGACGACCGCGATCTGCCTGTTCAAGGAGAGTGCGGCTTTCCTCAAGCTCGTTCTGCAAAGCATTAGCGCGGCGCTCCGAGATGCCAAGAAGTTCCCGGGCTTCGTCACGTGCTCTCTGCTCCTCCTCAAGCGCGGTCTGCACGTCCTTGAGCTGCTGCTGGTATCGCTTGATGTTCTTCTGTGCCTCAGCGTTTGCCTTGTTCGCGTGATCCAATGCGATTTCTAGCTCGTTGATGTCCGCCTCCAGTTTCTTCTTCATGCGCAGCGCCTCAGCTTTGCCCTGAAAACCGAATTATATTTCAAGATCAGATATGTCTTAATTTATTACAGTAATTAATATAACTTATTGCTTGCATGTAAAATTTTTGTTTCGCTTCGGAAAACGAAGAAATCTATTTTTCAGACACGGTGCAACGCTTACCTTGGCCTCTGCTTCGAGGGAAGCTTGCATGGAGTCGAGGGCGCGCTGGTGATTCTTCCTGGTGTTCTCGAATTCCTCTTCTTTCTCTTGGATGCGGCGGTCAATTTCCTGTCTGACCTGGCTAAGTTCAAGCTGACTGCGCAACACCTTGTTCTCTTCCTGCTCGAGAGCAGCTTCGGCCTCTTCCAGAGCTGCCTGAAGTTCGTCCTTTTCAGCCTCCAGACGCTTTCTAGCCTTCTCGATTTCGTGAATGTTGCGGCCACCTTCGCCGATCTGGTCCAGTAGGTCCTTCACCTCGTCGGCGAGATTCTTGTTCTCACGACGTACTGCCTCCAATTGTTCCTGGCCTTCCTCGTATGCGCCTAATCAATCAAACATCGATAATCAGAAATTAATTGCATAATTAGACAATAATAATATAATTAATAATGATATGATAATTCATCAATTGATTTTCTCTCACCTCTAAGCCTGAAGAGTTCAGTGCTGTAGTTACGGCACTCCTTCTGGCTAGCATCCAGTTCGGCAGCGAGATCGTCGACTTTGAGCTTCCATTCCCCGATAATCTTGTCGAAGGCTTTCTGTTTCTTTTCGGCAGCGTTGGCGATAGCAGTAGCGCGATCCACTTCAATTTGCAGATCCTCCACTTCAGTGGATAGTCGTTGTTTGGTCTTTTCCAGAGCGATAACCTTTTGATTGAGCGATTCAATGGTCTCTTCAGCCTCGGCCAGCCTGGCTTGTAGCTTTCTCTTCGCCTCCTCAAGCTCTTCAGCCCGAGCGACACCTTCAGATTCGTATTTGGTGCGCCAGAGCTGTGCCTCGGCATTGGCCTTGCTGAGTTGACGTTGAAGATCAGCTTTGCCCTCAGCCTCCTCCTCCACTTGCTCGCGGATGTTGTCCAGATCGTGTTCCAGATTGCGGAATTTACCGAGTAAAGTAGCGCGCTCGCGCGACTCTTCGTCCGCAAGCCTCTTGGTGTCTTCCAATTGTGTGGTAAGCGAAATCTTAATCTTAGACAGCTGACTGACCTGCGACTCGGCTTCCTCCAGCTGGCGTAACAGGTCACTGTTCTCGATCGATAGTTTCTTCTTCGCGGCATCGAAGTCGTTTAGAGTACGGTTCACCTCTTCAAGCTTGCCTTGAGTTTCGTTCAATTGGTGCTGCAATTGCTTGACGATCTTCTCTTGGGCGGCCTATATTTTGAAGAAAATTATATAGATTAATTTTTAAGTATCTTTATATCAAGCTCTCGTCTTTAGATAGTTATAATTGAAAATTTAAAAATACTATTTTTCATCGATCTCTTTAAATATGTTAAGTCCGGTTTTAAATATGAACCCCAACGTAGATTAAAAATAGACGTAATATTATATAGATTAAATAAATCAAGATAAAATAGAGAAAAATGGCCAAATCATTTTGGATCATACGAGAAATATATATTTCTTCCACGTCTCTAAAATTTTTTATTTTAATTTCTCAATCACAATAACGCGTTAAGAAGAGATCGTTGAAAAACGAACTCAAGTCGTTTAATAGACACACATACGAAAGCAATGCTGAGCAAGCAGGGATTATCGACTCACTCGTCAGATAAATGATTCGCGAACAATCCTGGGGAGAAGAAGGAAATCCATAGATCTGCTTCTCTGCGTCTCTGCACCTAGCGGAAGCTGTTAGTCGCGTTAGTTTTATTAACGTGGACCGGTATTGAACTTACCTTCTCGTTGCTCAGGTGGTCGCAGGATGTGCGCAAGTCGTTACACTCGCTATAGTACTGCACCTTCTCCTTTTCAACCCTGATTGGATACGGAAACAGTCAAAGGGATTACAAATGAATGATAATGATACGAATGACGTATAATTGACATTCCGGAATGCCGGATTAAATAACTTCACTATTCATGATTATTTCTTCATGCAGTCAATGGTCAGAATACAAGTAACTTCATTGATGAAAAGATAAATAAAAAACAATATAAATATCATTACGGAATTTTATTTACTTCAAAATAATTTGAACAGAATTGAAATTTAATCAATTCAATCTCAATTTATAAAAATTAATTAAAAATATAATATCAGTGCACATATTTATTTTATTAAATATTTTTATCCGATTAAGAATAAAGCATATTAATAAATTTCTTTTGCGAAAATATTTAATCCAGCATTCGTAACACAGCCTGACAATTCAAGCAACAGACTTTGCAGAACATATTTTTCTCCGGGGATAACTCCATTCTAGTAATCACATTTTTTTTACGGATCGAGGGGACTATCGAGGGATATTAACGGCGCAAAGGGTTTTCGAAAGTACGTTTAAAAGATGCATGAGAAACACTCTCGTCATTCCTCCTCTCTTTTTCAAGTACCTTCTCCCGAGAGACCTGATCCGTAACAGCGCGCGAACTGTTCAGCTCAGAGTGGATGTCGTGTCGACCCTTTTCGGCTCTACGAAATATTATGTTATAGTCCTGTTGTTTTTTCTATTTTTTCAATAAAAATCTAATAGCCGAAAGTTGAATCTCGTATCTCGTCGATCTTTCCAAATCTACTTTAACGTTACATAATTTTTTTTTTCTTCAGTGACTTTGGTTCTTCTATGTATTAAAATTTTTGTTAATCTCATTGAAAAGCTCCAGTTTTTCGATTTTTAACAAAATTCTCTTAACTTTTATTTACTGTCTCTATATTTCTTTCGATATTAAAAGAAGATAATTTGTTTCTTCCATTATTTATGTTTCACTGTTTTTCTTCATTAAGGAAAAGAAAATTGGTAGACTCACCTAGCCTTAAGTTTGTTGAGAGTATCAATTTGTTCACCCATCTCGGCCACGGCATCATTGTGCTTTTTGCGCAAGCTGGCCAATGAGGATTCGTGCTGGATGTTGGCTTCCTCGAGATCCCTGCGGAGCTTGCTAAGCTCAGCCTCTCGCTTCTTGTTCAATTCAATCTGAGCAGAAGTGGCACCGCCAGCCTCTTCCAAGCGTTCACCAAGCTCCTCAAGTTCGCGAGCGAGATCGCTACGTTGCTTCTCAGCCTTGGCGCGTCCACCGCGTTCTGCTTCGATCTAGAAGAAGAAACATTGTTTCATCAGTTACAATATATAGTAATTATATATATATGATATAAAAGATAGTAGTAACACACTTTTATCATCGAATTCTGATTGACGTCTTTTGATCGCTTTTGAAAACTTTTAATCAATTTATTATTGACATATAGTCAATGTGATAACTAAGACAAGAATGTCAATTGAAAAATAGTTGATAGATTAAAATATTTTTTTCTTCCCTTTTCAGACTAAAAATTTTGGGAAAATATATGTTTTCTTGATTTATTTTGTTATACACACTTCTTCCTCGAGTTCTTCGATGCGAGCCTGCAATTCCTTAATCTGCTTCTGTAGTTTACCGACTAAGGACTGTTCATCCTCAAGTTTGGCAGTTAGAGACGACAATTCCTTGTCTTTGCGTTGAATGGTCTGTTCGAGTTCCTTCTTGTTTCTTTCGAGATCAGCAACGGCTTCCTGCGTGAGCTTCAGGTCGCCTTCCACTTTCCTCTTCGCCTTTTCTACGTCGGCACTATAAATTGAAATTTAACATATTATATGAACATCCTCGCTACAATATTTTATTTTATATCTATGATGAATTAGGTATGTGTTATTAAATTAACTATAATCTACGTAAGCATAAGTACTTTTGCTTAGTTCAACATTGAAAACTGGTGATCAAATTCAAAATAGAGGGAACATTTCTAAATATTAATTTAAAATATAAAACATTTTCAATATTTATGTAGCTGCAGTTAAAGATTTAAGGGAATCCTAAAGCCGTCTGTATTACCGATTAAATAATAATTTTTGTGTAACAATTGTTATACAAAAATGATAATTTAATCGGTAATACAGACGACTTCAGGATCCCTTTAACTATCCATATAATTATCTATAAACGGCAAGTAAATAAATATTAAATATGTTGGGTAGACAATATTGGGCGCAATACTTTTATATAGAATTAATTTTTGGAAAACGTATATTAATTAGATTAATCTACTTTTAATTTATTTCTAAGAAAATCTCTCCTTTTCAAGAAAAGAACAAGAAAAAATATGGAAAAATTTGAAAAAATATACATATAACTGAGTTGCTATAGTTATTGATCTTAATAATCTTACATAATATTAAACATTATAATATCTTAAATAATCAAACGCATTGAACTTACCGTGACTTCTTCTCACGCTCCAGAGAGTCCTCAAGCTCGTCAAGAGTCTGTTCGAGCTTAAGTTTGACTTTGTTGAGGTGGTTGACTTTGTCCTCGGCGGCCTGGAGCTCCTCACCAGTTTTCTGGTTAACTTCACCTTGATTCTTCTTCTCCTTATTAAGCTTATTGATGAGCTCGTCTTGGTGAGCGATTTCATCATTTAGGTTTCTGATTTGATGGTCTTTTGTTGCCTTATCCTGCTCGGATTTTTGCAAGTTCAATTCGAGATCCTCGATATCTTTCTTCAAGCCAGATACTTCTTGCTCGAGTTTCTTTTTGTTCTGGAAGAGATTGTTTCTCGCGTCCTCCTCTTCCTTGAATCTGTCGGTGAGATCCTATGCGAAAAATATTTGTATAAGTATCGGCGATGTTTCTTTGAGTACGTAATAAAGCATAATAATTATCAAATTAATTATTTATTATTAATTATCACTAGTTAATAATACATATTCATGAATTTTAATTATTTGCTGATATTTTAAAATTTAGTCATTAATATTTTACATATCCTATTTTACTTATTTTATTATTTAATATTATGACACTGCCAATCTCCTCATTATTATATATACAATATATATATAATCTTTATTTTTATTACTTTTAATATTCTTTTTATTTTAATCTTTTTAATATTATTATCATTTATGCAATTCATTTATAATATTCAGCTGTTTACGATTGTCATAAGACATCTTTATCATATTCCTTAGACACTTTTGACTACGAACGATTTAAATTGTAGCTCGATATTAGTTTATCTTCTTTTTTAAGATGACATAATCTCCGAAATCTTGTTTGCAGAAGAGGTATTTAGGTCGATGACAGGTCTTCACGTGGAATTTATCTCTCGCTGGAGTATCCTTTACCGCGCGCCAAGTCCCTCGTCGAGTATGTCGAACGCATCTCTCTTCCTCTCTGTACGGCTACGCGATTAATTGGCATTGACGCGCAATTACGAAGCGGTCCACACGCACGGGCGCCTAATATTAGTTAATGCGGGGGCAAAGAATATTGGCACAACATCTCGCCCGGCCGGCGCGATCAATCTCCTCGTTCATCACGTTTATCTCTTCATCGCGCGTTTCGTTTGGATTCGGCGACCCGGTCTATATTTGTCGACAGAAAAATTCGGAATTTCTACCGGACTTTATATGGGAGTATTTAGAAAATTTGACAAAGACACTTTGCAAGCGGAAAAAAGACAAAGTCGCGCGAAACAGAAAAACAGAAAGATACAACAAAGTTAATCTTCTTATATCAATCCATATATATTTAAAGGAAATTGAAATAAATGTTTTGAGAGAAAAATAAAAAGTCATTGTATAATTAATAAAATGAAAATCCGATAAAAAGATTCATCGGAAAGAAGCGAAAGAAGAGAAAGATAGAAACAGATGTATCAACGATATTAAAATCAAAATCATCTCTCTCTCCCTCTCCCTCTCTCTTTCTGTGTCTAACTAAGAAAATTTGATCCAATGCACCGGGATCATATCTCAAGCAGGTGGAAGACGAGGTGGAAAAATCGGTGGTGACAGCGAAGAAACAACATGGTCTCGTCGGCGATGATGAAGAGGCCACGAAGGAGATACGGCTGTATGACTATGACGCACGCATGCACGCGAAATATGATGGCATATAAATACACCCTACACCTGTTACCTCCTTCGTTTTCTCTCGCCTCCGCTCCAGCGAGCTTAAAACCGCCGCCCACTTTTAATAACCTGGAATCTGGGATCTGCTAAATTTGTTGCCGTTGCCCTCTCTCGCTCCTTTGCTCTCTTTCTCTTTTTCTGTCTCTCTTTCTTTTTCTTTCTTGGTCTCTTTCCTTCTTCCGTCTTCCTACACCGCCTGACCGTAAATGGTGACGTTTAATGTCGAAGTCAACCGTAGTCTTCCGGTTGCCTTTAAACACGAGAGAATCTTCCTCGACACCGAGCGAGCCAATCGCGATGCACTCGATGCGAAAGCTTTTAATAGGTGCACCTCACGATCGCGATATTAGCTCATTTAATGAGCTAAAAGCCGTTCTTGATGACTATAGCGATTTGGTGAAAGAGATAAATGAAAGACATGAAAATTTTAATTAAGACAGCTACGGTAATAATGATTAAAAGTGTGTAAGTGAAAGTAAAAAGTGAAATAGAAATCAGATGAAACAAAAGTTAAATTAAACAAAATTAATATATTATAAATAAGTAAAAAATATTTATTACTTAAGAGCTATAATTGAATCAAGTAAATTCTTCAGTAAACGTTTAATTTAAAAAATCACAATACCAGATATTTTTGATAGCTTCTCTTTAAGAAAAATTTATTATATATACTTCACTCGATTTGTCTAATTTATAATTTAATGTGCAAAGTGATTTAAAAACGCAGTTACTTTATCGTCTTTCATATTCCAATCAACAATTTGTTAATTTAGAACTCATCTTGTTTATTTAATGAATACTTTTTAATAATTAATTCTTTGACATAACAATGTGTTTTATTTAATTATCGTTTCTAATTCCATCAAGAGTATCAAGTTGCTTGTTGGAAAACAAGGATCAGTAAACGTTACGAGCCAATGACGGGCGTCGGAGAGTGTCATGATGACAAACAATGACGAGTAGCCTCGGTTTTGAGAGGATGTTTAAAAGGTATCGATAAAAATAGGCAGTCTGGAATCCAGTCTGAAAAGAAAGAGAGAGGTAGAAAGAAACAGAGAAAATCTGGAATTCTAGTCGCGATCACGACTCGTCTATTTTCTGCGAGCGTGACGCCTTCGAGAAATTATTACCGTTGCTTTTTCTCCAGTGAGTGTTTCTGCGCACGCTTAACAACCGGATAAAAATACTAGTGTTCAACATGCTGATGCGATCGTCCAGAATTTCGACGACTCTCGGATTCTTCTGGTGAGTATTTACGACCAAGGAAAACCATTGTAAGAAATAATCGCATAGAGTGAGTGCGAAGAAATTTTGAGGATTTCGTAAACTTTGAAAAAAATTAGAGCTGTTACAAAAAGAAACGGTTTCAAAACGATTACAAATAAATTGTAAAGAAACGAAGATTACAAAATTATCAATGGATATTTTATCAGAGATTGAGCTGATTATTTTTTAGAGAATGGACTTTAATTGTACAAAGAAGATTTTATCGGAACTGTGTCATCGAAAAAAATACAAGATAAAAAAAATTAATAATAAAAATTGTATTAATAATAATGTAGCAGCTATTGTCTTTGACACAATTATTTATGATGAATCATACTCAAAGTCGATAATGAAACAACAAGAAATCTATATTCCTTTAGTTGGACCTAGCCACCCATTTTTTCTTTCTATAACAATTTTTGGAAAAAAATCTTAAAAATATCTTTAAAAAAATGTATTCGTTAAATCCATAGAATAGATTCAAATCATTCGTTATTAACTTTTATTTGGAGAAAATGTTGAATGCTTCTCCTCGAAGAAGCAAGAGAAAATATTCCGGGAAGCAACGTGCGGCTGGAGTCCCTCGGAGAACATCATCTGCGGATGACGTTAAATCAGGAAAAGATGTAACAAGGTTGCGCGAAACGTATGCACAGGGTGTGCACCGTAATTTTAGCAGCACGATATGACCGAATATATATGCGTCGACCGCGTAACCAGATGAGTTGTCGTCCACGCCACACGCTCGACTTGAAGAAAAATAGCGCGTCTGACTAATTCCGCGACTACGCTACTTTGTCGCGCTCGCGAGCTTGCGAAATCGCCGCGCGTAATTCGAGCCGCGATTTAAATCACGTAAACGCCCCTCCTCCTACCGACAGTTAATGTCACCCCGACTGAAATCGCATTCCTTCTTTCTTTTTTCACGACAAATCTCTCTCACTGTCAAAAAACAGGAATCCGCGAACGATTTGCAATGATGTGACACGGTATAACTTTAATGAGCAGAGTGAGAAAGGGTTCAACCCAAATTTTTGAAATTTTTCTCTAAACGAAGAATTACTTTAAAATTATGATGTGAATTCATTCTATTTGTTGTATTTATTTTAATGGTATATTTCCAAAAATGTTTCTTATATTATCTCTTTTCATATATTACTAGATTGCTATATTATTAGATTGATACATTGAAACCTAGCATACGTTTTGATTAAATTTAGAAGTTTAGTCGAGCATGATTAATAAATGTTACCGGCAAATTATATATATAATTATGAGTGATGATGCTAATTATATGGCTTCTCGCCCTTCGACATCGATTCGCACGCGGCTTGCGCCACTCTGTGCTAATTACGCCGCTAATTATATTACTTTCTGCCCTTCACAGTTGACTGACTCGCATCTTGCGCCAAATAGTCGAAAATGATTTCATATCGCGATTTTTATGATGATAACTCGTGCATCTTGATCAGGAATTCTTTCAATATTAGCATCAGATTTTAACTCACATAATTATGTGATTTTGCATTTAATACTAATAAAAGTAGAATTACTATCACTATTTTTATTAATATTTAACAATATAATCCCTTTTGAGTATATTTAGAAAATGCATATTATGTAGATTCAATTGGCTGTCGAAGATTACAATTAAATAAACTAAAAATATCGTAAAAAGCCACTAGCTATTTGAAATCCAAAACTTTTATATTCCGAAATTTTTTAAGTTAGATGTAAAACTTCAAATCTCGATGTAAATTAAAATTTTATACAAAGCAAACTTTCAATATAAAAATTCAGTACTAATATTAATTTTATAAAAAAAAATTTTTTAATTTGCAATAATTAAAGCTAATAAGATTTAGCAGAAAGGGTATCTGAACTCACGACAGCTTAGTAGATACTAATAAATTCCAGTAGTGATAATTCTTAAGGTTCGATCAATAATAATACCATCGTTGAAAAAATTTTTTTATTAAAAAAATTCGTGCTGTATGCAGTTCTTACCTGAAGCTGTGATTCGAGATCAGCCTTTTGTGCGGCTAGTTTCAAGGATTTCTCTTGGAACTCGGAGAGCGAGCCCTTCTCACCTTCCAACTGGCGTAGCAAGTTGGTCTTCTCGCTGAGGAGCTTGGAATTCATATCCTCCAGCTCTTTGCGTAGCTTCTCCTCCTTCTCGAATGCCTCCTGCGCCTTCCTGGCTTTCTCTTCCAGCGCCTGCAACGAAGCCATTTCACCTTCGATCTTGCCGCCGTTCACCAGCGGGATCGGATTCTCGATCAGCACCGTGTCGCCCATTATTAATCACCCTCGAAGAAAAATCGAAGAATACACGCGCGAATGCACTTGATTTCGATTCCTTTTTCTCGTATAAGTACCGGGGATTTTCACCGAGAGAGAGAAGGGCGATCCCCGGGAAGAATCGATCGATCGAACGAGGGTACGGACGTCGCGAGAAGCCTCGGTTTTAAGGGAGTCGATTGCTCGATAATCGCTCGAAGACGAAAGAAACAGCGTGCGGGACTCGGGGGTACAACCGGTCCCTACTTACGTCTCGAAGATATCGAAAAAGAGAGGCTTTGAACACTCGCGTGAATATGTGTGGGTATACGAGGGCGAGGCTTCTCCCTCTTTGTTCGTCGGGCGGGTTCGCGTAGTTTCGAAGGGGTCGGCGCGAGGTCGCGGGTCCAACTGGTCCCGGATTCGGTTGAAGCCCAACTTTTCTACCCGTGCCCGTGGTCCCTCACCGTGCCCGTTTCCGGCAGCCAGTAAGGAGCGAGCCGCGACGATCTTGATCGTAGGCGTCCCCACTCCAGTGGCGCCTCGCCACTGTACGTGTAAAAATATTTATAACCGATCCGATACTACATTTCAGGAGGGTAAAAGCAGGGAAGGCAAGGAACAGCTTATGTCTGCGGAGGGGGGTCAGTCTTGGACGAAATTAGAAGCGATCCGGAAGGGCTGCCCTCTCTCTCATTCTCTCTCTCCAGCCATCACCCCCTTTTTGGCGGCTCCAGAAGGTGTAAAGTGGATAAATGGATCGCAAAGAGATCCGCTTAAGTGAGTAAGTGAAATTTGTTTCTGTGCATTGAAGCGGACTGAGAGGTTTTAACAATGCGAACTAGACATTTTTTTTTAATTTGTAATAACGTGCTCTTTTATTTTTTCTTTTGGATGTGTAATTTTTTAATTAGATTTTATTGTAGTGTAAATATTTAAACTGAGAAAGTTTTATTTTTGGAAAGATGTAACAGTAACAGAAATTTTGTTATTTTTGTCACAAATAATATATGAACTGATATATTTATAAAAAGAGACTCAACTTAAATTAAATCATTAAAATTAGAATTGATAAAAAATAGGAAAAAGTAAAAGTATTTTTTTTAAATATATATTAAAAGAAGATTTAAAATAAATTAAAAATGAATTAAGAAAATATAAAATTATTATTTAATAATACAAAAAAACTTTATACAAATCAATTACTAATAATGATAATCGACTAGATAAGATTAACTCTCACTGCTTAATAAAAGTTCGAAGAGAGTGAAAGAAATGTAAAGTTAATATTAAATTTCTTCAAGAAATTCTCGAGCCAAATTTTGAACAAAATATTAAATTTCGCTGCTGCATATCAAATTAATGATTCACTGTAGAATCAGCAGTCAAGTGTCAGTAACATGACGTAAAAACGACTAAACAAAATTAGAAGCGTCGACATTCCGGAGGAGACAGACCGCGATTCGAAAAATACGGGGACCATGTCTCCTGAGTGTCTGTGAAGGACGAATAATTGTATAATCCTTTTCAAAAGAGAGCCGAGTCTATTAATAAAGAAACCGTTTCGGTAACATGATCGAACGTTGATTCACCATCGGTTGCCTTTATTATGTTTCTAATTTGGGACACCAGAGCGGTATCAGTGAACTGGACTGGAGAACGAGAGCGTGTATGGATTCCCCTAATTCTCGTTAATTTGGGTTTTAGAGTCGAAAATATAGTTAGTTCGAGAACGGAGGGGGGAGGGTCACACAGGAGGTTGACAGAATTAGAAGCGTCGACGTTCCAAAAGGGTCGACCGACACTTCTTTCCAGATTTTCCAAGATTAAGTGAAATCCTTTGCTACTGTACTAATATTGATTTATTAAAACGTGCTTTCTATAAAGAATATATGTGTCGAAAAAGTAGTCAATTTGCGAAGCAACAATAAAATTAAACTTAATAAATAAATTCAAGAAAATGAATCCGTCACTCATATAACGGATTTTGTAATTCCGTTAAAGAAATATGAATATTTAATGATAGAATTAATTTGTATTCTTGTTAATTCGATCAAATTTTCTTAGATCCAAATCTGACAAATACATGAATAAGCCAAAGATGTATAAAATGATTTTGGCGGATTTAAATTGAATAAAGAAATCTGTGTTTATAGAAAAAATGTATGATGCATTCAAGTTATGAAAGTATACTAAGAGAATAGGAAAAATATGTCGAAAAATTGATCTCAAGAAAATTTCGAGTTGAAACTGGTCGAGTTCGTGCGTGAACAAGCTGTGAAAACGTGAAGACCAGGCGGCAGATAAATAAACGTGTGCGTCTGGAAACTGGAGCCATTACGGTCCGAGCAAAAGAAGAAATAAATTCCGCTGGTGATTTCGAGCGAACGGTACGGTTAAGCACGAAGTCCAGGCCGTAAATCACCGTCAAATCGGAGCTTTATTTTGCCAAGTTTCTGTGGCCTTTCGTGAGCTTTCAGTTTTCGCGGAATAAATATTTCGATTTTGCAATGCTCGTTTCTTTCTCTGGAGTAACAAGTGTTAACAATCATAATCTGTTATTCCGAGTTAAAGATTCCTTTGAGAAGTACAATTTAATCCTCAGAGATACTAATCGAAGAATTCAAAGAAGAAAGATAAAATTGCAGAAGCATCGTAATCAAAAAATTCACTTGAAGTGCAAAGTAGACCTGAAACTATTTTAAAGTGAATCTTATAAATTATAAAAAAAACAAAATTTAATTTATATATATATATATATATAAATAAAAACGTAATTAAAAATTGTAGCATATAAAATAGAAATATTATTTCTGCTTTGGACTGTTTAATTGAAATATATCTATGAAGAATACTAAAATCTTCACTGTAATCAATTTGCAGGGTGCTGATCGAGAATCGTATTTCATTCCTTTAAAGCTTAAAATAGAAAGATAAATTTGCCGACAATATATCTGCAAAAAACATACTAAAATCAAAAATATATTATAATTACTCCATATAAAAACAACTTTTATCACAAGTTTCGTGGGTTTTATATAAACTTTTTATATAAATATATATATATAGAAAGAATTATAATTTTTTCAACAATTAAATTAATTTTAAAATTTAAAACTTTTGAATTTAAACAAATAATTTAATAAAAGTCAAACAGAAAAACAATAGTAATTGAAAAAAAATTGTAACAATTTAAATGGAAGATCGATCTATTGAATTCATTATTTTCGTAATTTGTTTTTAAAATATTTTTGAGCAAAATGATTTGTCGAGACGGGATCTCGAAGAGATACTTACGGCCATCTCGTCCTCGATGCGAGTGACGTTGAGTAGAGGCTTGATCTTCTGCCACAACTTCCACCACGGCCAGGTGCGAAGTTGGAGGTATTTCCTCAAGTTCCTCTGGACGACCACAAGGGCCAAACGTTGTTCCTGGAGTTTCTTATAGTCTTTACGGGACAGGTAACCTCTGATGTAAGCTTGCATCCAGGACACGATCTTGCTAAGACGCTCATCGCGAAGCTCTTCCATCTGACCCAGGACTCCGGCACGGAAGAATACCTATTTTTCCAGAAGCAAAGAGGAAATGAAACATTGAAAGAAATCGCTCTTATAACAGACCTAAGATGTACCTCGATCACCGAATGTGATAATAACATTTATGTAGATTGATTCATAATTTTCAGCATTCAAAGAAATATAATTAATTTAAAGATATCCAAAGAAAAGGTAATACAAATTAAAGTTTTAAAAGCTACAAGTTTTAGAATATAGCTATAAGTTTTATAATTAATAATTTAACTCTCAATAAAAATGCTTTGATTTTTATTCAATTTACAGTATCACTGGAAAATAATCGTGGTACATCGCATCAACTTCTATAAACTGGCCTTCCATGCTGCTTTTAGCTTGGAAAGAGGATCGTTATTCAACGAGAGGAAGTAGACAGAAATTGCCTCACGCTTCTTGAGGGATTACACCACGCTGAAAATTGATTTGGCAAAGGTATCCTTTGTTAGCGTAACTGATGATAGCTTGTCATTAATTTGCTCGAAGGCTGTAAACAGTTAATCGCCGAAGCCACGCGGTTGTTAAACTGACACTCTTCGACGTTTAATGGCCAACATTTTCGTATGACTGCTCAAAGATCATAAATATATAAATATATAAACAGTGTGTTGCACATATTGGAAAATATATTACAGAATATTCCAAGACTCCAGACTCCCGGAAGTTTTGAGACTTAAAATCTATTCCTGCTTCGGTCTTTGAATTTATGTTTTCATCATTTAAACATGTATTTTTAAAATTTATCAAGATTGTCCGAAAATTTAAATATTTAATTTTCTTTTTTTATATTTTGATGTTGGCGAATAAATCATCGTCGCTGTAAGAACAACTCAAAAGTTCTTGAAACATCCACAGAATATTCAACATTTTATGTATTCTGCGAACGTTTTGAAGACCTTTCGTGCTGTCAATAATAAATCTGCCCTTTAAAACTTTTAGAGTGAATCTCATTCTGAAGAATAAAATCTCATTTTTAAAGATTAAAAACTGAGCCATTTTTTTTTTTAAACTGACTCAATTTTCACTCTTAAGAGTGAAGATTCCGCTCCAAAGAATTTAGAAAGTGCGATAGCGTTTGCGCATCGTGATACTATCACGACGTGGACCACAGTAGGTGTCCGATACCTTGGTGTGACCCATGCGGTATTGATCACTCTCCAGATTGATCGTGTCCAGGATGATCTGGGTGGCCTTTTGCGGCTCGCAAGGCTCTTGCACGGCATTGGCGCACAGAATTTTGTATCTGCGTTCGTGGCCGACCGTGCCGTCAAGTTCGGTTTTGCGGTTCGGTGTGTTTGATGGTGATACATATTGGTATTTGACGATGTGTGTGTATCACAAAACAGACAGAAAAAAATCACCACGCCAGGTTAGAGGTTGTCGTATTATTACTTCTCGTTGCTATAGAATCGAGAATACATCGGAGGGCGGAAGGTGGGGGAGATATAAAGGGTAACAAGTATCCTTCGAGGATACTTTGATTGGAGAGATCCACTTTATGTCGATCTCGGACAAGGTAAGACGTTCAGTTAAAGCGCAAGATCTTCGAAGAATAACTTTGCTACTAAGAATTCATTAAATTTCTAAAGAAATCGATAGCTTAACAGAGAAAGAGTATAAGTAGCATTGTAAGATCAACAATTCTTATTAAACATTACAAAGATGATAGTGCTGTTAATTCTATCGAATATTCGCGCTTAAAGACGTATCATCCTTATCTTTATCTTTACTTATGTCTACCGCCCAGTCACTAAGGGGCATCGACGTGTCAAGGTTCAACTACACCAATGATAATAAACGGACAGAGTCATTTGCGGTCGACGATGTTCGAGTGAAGCCAATCCACTAAATCATTAACAATCATTCTTTATCGTGAAAAGAATCTAAAACAATCTTAAATTGAAGAAATGGTTTTAATCGTCGAGCATCGTTGATCGCATTCAAAGCCGCACTGCGAGATCATCGTCTGCCAGGGCCAGATCGAAAATTGCGACAGGGGGGAAAAGGGGATAAAACGTGCCTTGGTGTGTCCAAGACGGTACATATCAGCGTCGAGACCGGTGGAGTCCAAAATAGCCGCGGCTGCGTCCTTGGGCTCCTTCGCCTTGTCAACTGCCGCGGGCGCCAGGATCTTGTACCTAAAGGGGTATCGGGGTACACGGGAAAGGGGCAAACGTGCAAATTAATTAACACAAGGGTTCTAGATACGAATTTCCGTAGATTTATACTCCGTCGTGTCATCCCCTGAACGGTCCTCGTTCCTCCATGATCACTAAATTACGATTTTTAAAAAGAAAATCGGGACTCATTTCATACAAGTATGTACGTGTAACACTGTTCGAGGACTGATCTTCTAATCTAATAGGGTATTTAAAAAAAGTCGGGCAACAGATTCGGACATCTGGTTAGATTTTTTAACTGTTTTTACGAGACGAATTCACGAGACAGGCAAAACTAAATGGCATTCGAATATGTACGTTGCATTCAACGAGATCGAGGGGCGACGTGCTGAATTTATAGGGCAAGATTTCAGCGTGGATCGTCCTTAAGTCTCGCTAATTCATAAAAACGACTTCAAATTAATTAAGAATTATCCGTTTAATTATCATCAGATACGTGAGCTCGTAATATTAATAATAAAAATACACAGATTCCATCTAGAAACCAACAAAACCAAAAATTTAATAGTTTATTTCGCATCGATACTTGATATTTTATCACGCTATAAATATCGAAAGAATATTTTTTGTCGCGATTTCGGGACAAGGATCTTTGGACCATCCACGTGGAAAACTTTTTCTCTAATTCTTCGAACATCGGATGTAAAAAGTGGCTAATCCACTAGTTCAGAAACAACGAGAGGTGGTAGAATTGCTAAAACCATTTTTATCGAGGGTACGTCAACTAGCCTTAGTATGACCAATCCTATAGCTGTCCGGATCAAGAGCGATCTCTTCGAAGCACTTAGCCGCGGCGACCTTGGGATCGCTGTGCGCTGCCATTTGGGCCGGCGCTAGGATCATGTAACTACACGGTACACAACATAAATTCGGTTACTATATGCGTTCAATTCGAAGATAATAATCCTTCTTGATGCTCCTGATTTCGCGTAAGAAATAGATTGGAAAGTTACGTCGTTTATAATAGAAATTTCAAATTATAAAAATATATATACAGAAAGAAAGGGGATAAAAAGATTATCTTTTTAAATTCTTTCCAAAAAATTATTCTAATTCCGTAGCATTTTGAAATTTATCGTTTTCAACTAATTCCCGTAATTATTACGAAACGAAAAAACTAATGTAATTAAATAATCGCATTATAAAGTTATCGCTAATAAAAATATTAAATAATATAGTGATCAGAAAAATCCGCTATGTCGATTATGTTTAAAGAGATGTAATAATAATTCGGTATAATAATAAAAGTTAATATAATACAATAAAAAACTTAATAATAATTTTAATAATTGGCTAATAATCTCAAAAAATATCAACATTGCAGATTTTTGTAAAATATATAAATTATTGTGAAGGATCGAGGAAATATAGGTAATTTCTAAAAAAGTAAAACTTTAGATCATAGATACTTTTAGATTCCAAATATTAGAAAATCTTTAAAAAATCTGACGACATAGAAACATATTACCACATATTTATATACACTTAGAAAAAACTTAATTCCTCGAGCCATCGAGCTTTTCGAGTTTTCACAAAAATGGTCAATCGTAGATAAAAGATAAGAAAGATTCTTACCGTAGCTTGAAATCAGGATACACCATTCTGTTGGGGAAACCTTTACGACAGATACGGATGCCTTCAAGCACACCGTTACAGGTGAGCTGATGCATAACCAGATGGGAGTCAATCACACCCGGCTGCTTCAACTCGTTGGGGATGATACAACGGACAAAGTGAGGCTGGGTGGCACGCAAAGTGGTCATCAGGTTGTTCAACTGCTCCTTATAAGAGGACGACACAGTGGAGAAGCCACCACCCTTCTTGCCACGTCCGCCCTTGCCGCCGCCGCCGCCGCCAGCATCACCGGACTGACCGGGATGATCAGCGAAGATCTCCACCAGTAATTTGTTAGAAGATTTCTTGAATTGATCGACCACCGTGTCGTTCAGCGGATCCTTGTTCTTCTCTAGCCAACCAGTGATGTTGTATGGTACCTGAAGCCCAAAGAAATTTTCTATTCCATCTTTTCTTTATAAGAAAGAGAATTTATATCTTCGAACTTTCATAACGATAAGTAAAATCGATAAATAAAATTATCGAAAAATCAAACTTGCTTCTGAAACTATGTAGAATTAATTTCTTGAAAAATATTAGCTTTTTTTTTAAAACAATATAACTATTAATTTTCTTTATATGAAGAGTAATGTCTTAACGTTATATTTAAAAATACAATCAATACTCTTTTCTTTTAGTTTTCTTAAGAATAAAGTGATGCATGAATTTTTTTTTAAATTAGATCATATTTTATATAAAGTAAAGTAAAGAAAAATTCATACATTGCCAGCATAATGGCCGATGGCGAAGTGGGCCGCTTGCTGGCCCGGCTTGGGCGGCTTCGGCTTCAGATAGTTGGGACTTTTGCCGAGATGGTTGTTGTTCAATTTCTCCTCGAAGGTCTTATCGGTGGCCTTGGGGAACATAGACTCTTCCTCAAGAATGGAGAGAATACCCATAGGCTGTGTTGCGAAAAAAAAGAAACGAAGAAATCCATCAGAATCTGTTACATCTCGAAAGGTTTCGCATTTTCCAAGAGTAGCGTTATACAAATAATGTCTTCTTGTTTCTCACCGTTAATTATATGTGAACATCTTTCTGTTAAATCGCGACTGATTCTTAGCGCCAAAGTTCTACTAATAAAAGAAAAGAAATGGAGGCGTTCTCATTATGCGAAACATTTGCGAAAGTGTCTGCAAAATATTTTCGCGTGTAGCAAACTTCGTTAGTGCCTCAACTTTTACTGAAAACAGATGCTAAATACTCTCTCTCTTTGTTGATATACTTTGTTATCTACTTCCTCGATACTGTGACATTAATGTACCTTTACTTTTGCGACGGTTAATTAATTATATATTATATTGTCGAGCGTGTAATACATTAATAATTAATCTTGCAGATTACGTAAGAGGAAAACCCCAACGCTACTCTTAGTAATGTGCGTTATCTGTAATTCTACAGGATAGATTTATCAGATAGATGCTTCGGCAATGATAATTGCACCTTATTAGATACCTAATTTTCTTTTCGAGTAAAATAAAATAGTAATATTACTTATAATTCTTTCTCTCTCTTCAAGAATAAATCTAATACAAATACAAAAGTACTACATTTGGTGCTCTCTTGCACTTCCATTATAGTTCATATTGACTTTCGCAGACGGAAAAAAGAGGCGGTCAAAATCAAAATGTTTGCGTTTACTTTAACTTTGTTTAGTGTGATACCTGCATCCCAATTGTTAGCAAATTGTCTCTATTGTGTTAGGAATATATAATTTATTCACTGTGGAGGCTCACATAGACATTTTGTATTAAATTAATTTTCTATATTGCAAAATTTTATATTTTGAAAGTGCAATCATCATTTCCGATATATCAATCTTTTCATTCATTATATTATATATAAGCTACAATGATATACATGATCTTTCGGGTCCATCGCACAAATTTTCAATCATAAGTGCTACATATCTATTCAAAAGAAAAATCAATATTTTATATGGAAAGACTATAATTATAAATACCCTTTGTTTAAAAAGAGAATCTATTTAAATATGAAAAATGCAGGAATTTGACTTGCACAATTTAATTAAAACACTCGTTAATTTTGAATTGCTACTCAGCGTTAAATAAAATATTAAAGTGATAAGTCTTTGAATATAAAGAATAATTCTGAAGTTAACGAATTCGTGAATGAAATTTTACGCGCTAGACCCATGGCATGTAATGAAGATGATACGTAATTAATACATACATAGGCGAGAAAGTACAAAATGGCAGGAGACACACAATATTGGCAATACGGTTGCGAACTCAACAATGGGCAAGCTAAACTCAAGCGCGAATTGATGCGTTACTGGATCACAGTCGAGTGATCCAGAATATTGAGTCCGTGTCCTGCGCGGACCCATCGCTTTACCTTCTCGATCAGATTGATCGTCGGTTCCAAATCCATGCCGAAATCGATGAAGGTCCACACGATACCTTCACGCTCGTACTCTTCCTGCTCGAGCACGAACATGTGGTGATTGAAGTATTGCTGTAGCTTCTCGTTGGTGAAGTTGATGCAGAGCTGCTCGAAGCCGTTGTACTGCATTCGTTCATGCACCACGATGCACACAGGCACACAGCGAAGAGACAGAGAGAGAAAGAGGAGAGAGCGAGAGAAAAAGAAAGAGAGAAAACAGTGAAGAAAACGGGACGCGATCGGTAGGACACCATCCATGTCCAGTCGGTTGGTCCTTTGATCTTTCGATCAGTTGGAACTTCTCGCGACGTAATCGAAAGCGGCACTTATAATCGTTTGAGTAAATTGATCAATTCAAATAAAATAAAAATTCATTTCATTATTTTGACTTCGGATAATTAAACATCAATAATATAAACTCCATCGCGTAGACGAGAATCGCTCCACCTTTCGATTGACGTGGCGAGAGGCAAAAAAAAAAAGATAATGCCGAGTGAAAGTGTGACGGTAGGAAGTAGTGTTAGTGTTCGATCGAGCAGATAGACAAGACAGGAACACATTCAGCGTATATATTTCGAGCGTGTATATATTATTCGGAGAAATTCCCGAGTCTTCTTGGCGATTGGGATCGCGATCTGTCGATCTGCCTCGGCCGGGTGATACCTTCTCGATCAAATCGATAGTCTGCTGGAGATCCATGCCGAAGTCAATAAATGTCCATTCAATGCCCTCGCGCTTGTACTCCTCTTGCTCGAGGATGAACATGTGGTGGTTGAAGAACTGCTGCAACTTCTCGTTGGTGAAATTGATGCACAGCTGCTCGAAACTGTTGAACTGCTCGACCGAGTAGCGCAGCGGAGTGGACGGGGGCCCATGCGAACGGGGGGTTTAAGCGAAGAACAGAGAAAAAAGAAACAGGGGGGAACAGCCGTCATTAATGCTGCCTGATGACGCAAAAGGAGAACGCTCGACCGATGACTTCGACCCGTAACTTTCATCGTTCGATTCCGGGACGAGGGCGAAATGGGGTGGACCGGGGTCGAGAGGGTGTCAATAGGGTGCACTCTATGTGCCCTTGGGAATTTATTCTTGAACATGCGAGGAACTCGAAAAATTTTGAAAAAATAAAATATTTAAATTTCAATCACATGTAAATAATTAAATTTAGTCCCACGATGACATGATTTAAATAAAAGTAGATGGCTATGCTTTTCAAGTTCGTCGCATGGATTAAAGACACTCGCTTGTGCCGTTATGTGGTAAATTAAAAATCGTATCATGATGAACACTAACAGTTCATTGTTGTGTTACATCAATATGTTAGTTTATCCAAATAGAATTTATTAAGTGGATAAACTTTCAATATAAGTTTCTAAGTAAGGGATAGACACTCAATGTGCTTTTATATACGTGGGGCAGGGGCGAGGAATGTAATTGTCAGATCGTTATTTATTATTAATTGTTAACTCATCATCTCTTTCCGAACGAGTTAATTTCTCGTTAATTTTAGCCTTATATAATTATTATATAATTATTAATATTCTATATAATTATTATTACTAATTATTTCATATCTGATTTTTATTCTAAGGCTCGTTGATTAATGTCACGCTAAACGGTGTATTTTTTAATCATCGAGCTCTAAAATTTTTTACGGGTTGACATTCAGTGCTCGTCACAGGAGCTTTGCTGAAGTCTAATAATTTCACAATTTGTTCATCTTACAATTGATTTGACGCAATAAGTTTCAATAATAAGCTTCGTTAATTTATCGATTTTTTCATTCTTTTTTTCACTTCACGATTCGTCCCGGTCTTTTCAGGATTGCGAACCGGATCTAGTAGATCGTCAAAGAAAAGACAATGATGTTTGATTGTCGTTCAATCTGTTGAACGATTTTGGGGAAATTCTAAACGAGCACGATATTAGTGCCGTTAAGGACATGACGGGACATCATAAGAGGCAAGAAAGAGAAAAAGTGGCTTAGGTACCCGTATTAAGTACCTTCGGCATCTTCGTGATTTTCGAAGAGCCAGAAAGATTGTGACAAACATAAGCATGAAAAACCGGTCAAACTTAACCGGAAAGCAACATTAACATTTCGTGATTTTTGTGAAGTCCCAGAAATCTGTTCGCTCAAGCTCGTTCGATGTCTTGCTCGTTCGTTGTCCGTGGGATCGATCAACTCCCAGAGTGCTGGATCGATGTATTCAAACCTTGATTCTGGGTAAATAACAATACCTTCTCAATCAGCTCGATACAAGCTAGCAAGTCCATGCCGAAATCAATGAACACCCAATCGATGCCCTCTTTCTTGTACTCCTCTTGCTCGAGCACGAACATATGGTGGTTGAAGAACTGCTGCAACTTCTCATTGGTGAAGTTGATGCAGAGTTGCTCAAAGCCGTTGAACTGCCATTTTTTGCGTTTGCAATGCGTAGGAAAGAGTGGAAGAGAAGGCGGTACAGAGACGAACAGAATGAGGAAGGGGAGGGAGACAAAAATCATTATCAATGAGACAAATATTCCAGCAGAATTAAGTAAGTGTTTGTGTCATATGTGTGTTGAGTCCAACATTTCGAATTTTTTAAAATTCTAATATTTAAGAAAAACAGAATTTATTACCTGAAAGATTGAAATTAAAATTTAATTTTAATTTTCGTAAATAAGTTTTTTTTAAATAAATCGAGTAACACTTCGTTTTTTTTTACAATTTATAATTTCAATAATACAATTCTTATTAAAAAATTCTTTTCTATATACAATCTAGAAATTCTTATAATTTCTCACTTTCTGTCTCATTCTTATAGTTTCAAAAACTATCTATATAGAATAATTAAAAGAATGCAAATTATATGCTTTTTTTTTTTAAATTGATTGAAATGTTCTCGATAAAAATGAAACTTTTCGAGATTTTGATGATATTTTGTTGATAAAAATTTGCCTTTGACATAGAGGAGGAAACTAAAACTAGTCTAAGCGGAATGCGACAGGAAGGCTTGCTTGTCGATAACAATACATGCGGCCGAAACCGCGAGATTGACGACACAAATAGAATAAAAGAAAGGCAGAGGCTCAGGTGAACATAAATGGCTGACGATAAGAAAACAGTGGACAGTCACTTTGTTTTTAGAAAGTAAGCGTTAGAGTAGCGGTCTCCTCTGATCCGTGATAAATCATCAGGGATTTCCGCATGCTTAGGTATCTCAATTCTCATGTCGTATCATTCGTTCGTTATTCAGCTTTGAGCTATCCCGTTCTCTTTTGCTTCCGGCCGTACCCCGTCTGTCGGGTTTTTATCCGGCCAGGAATCGATCGATCCGTTGTCCTAATGTACCTTCTCGATCAGATCGATACATGCGACCAGGTCCATGCCAAAATCTATGAAGGCCCACTCAATGCCCTCCCTTGTATACTCTTCTTGTTCGAGGACGAACATATGGTGATTGAAGAACTGCTGCAGCTTCTCGTTGGTGAAGTTGATACAGAGCTGCTCGAAGCTGTTGAACTGTTCGAGAGCAAGAAACAGGCATGCGTATGTGTATATCATTTTCTCTTTTTTCTCCCTCTTGACACTTCTTTTTAGCTTTCGTAGGTCTTTTGTCCTGTTTCTTTTAAGGGATTTCTTACACACATTTACAGCATCGATTGGAATTGCGAAATTGGCCAAAGTTTCGTTTCGAAACGGTTACATACATAAAAATATTCTTAATGGAGTTTTTTTTTAATATAATAGAACGCATATGGAAACAATAACTTTCTTCTTCAAGATTTGAGACTGATAAAGTAATTCTGACATTTTAATCGTATTTTATTAATATTATATTATTTAATTTCTCTTTTCTGATAAAATTATTGAAAAAACAAATTTGTGAAATTTAAATTCTGTTGTCGACTCGAAACTTCAGGCTGATGAAAGTCTCATTATGAGAGATTTTTCTGTAGGGTACATAATTTAAATCGGTGGTGTTGTGCACCGTTTATCGCTGGGACATATTGATGTCAATCACATCGCGACCTAGCACGAGGTCGTTCTTTCGGGTTTTGGGTTTGAACTTATCATGTCAGAGAATGTTCCAATGTTTCGATTTGTGTCCAGAATATCAATCAATTTATAAAACAGAATACGGAAAAAATCAAAATACAAGATTTATGCTAAATTCAAAGTTAATTGAAAAGATATCATATGTTTTTATCCAATCTTTATTTTTGTACAACTACGTAAAAGTATTGTTAATAATCTGGACAACTTGTGGAGTTTTTCGGATGTATAAGAGGTCGGATCACAGACAAACAATAAGAAAATTAACGCATTCAATTTATAATATACAATATGTAATGAATAATCTGTAATAAATATTTGTAATAAACATATTCATGTTAGATTTTGAATGCAGTCAGTTCTCGTGTCTGTGATCAGATGTCTTTATGAATACCAAATACGTAGGGTCCAACAATATTAGTCTACTGTCAACAATTACCATTACCAATTCTGTCAATACATCAACGGAAAAACCAGAAAATGAATGAAAATCGTAAAAGAGTGGTTTACGATTCCTGACCATCCTGTTTACAAATGGACAGTTAAACAAAAGTACTTAATTCAAAATAAGGGAGGATAGGCTAGTGGTTAATCATCTCTACACCATGTTCATTCTACGTGAAGTCCACTGTTTCAATGGTGACAATGATGACAATGAATATCCTTTCGATGAATGAAAAAATAATCCTTTTACCTGCACGCTGTCCCACTTGGAATCAGATAGAGCGAATGAGCGTTCTTCGGGGAATCTAAGAATATATCTAAGAGCATTCTCGATAAAAGGATTCGATAAAAATTTGGGTATATTTTTCAATAAGAAAAATTTTGCTACTTCTATAGAAACGTGCAGAAAAATTAAGGGCAATCGAAGAGGGATTTTCCGAAACCATGCGTTTTTCAAGAGAACAAATGATAATTATTTATATAAACACTCAGAATAGTACTTTTTTCCCTTTGCATGATGTTAATTAATAATATAATAAATAATAAAATTACAAGACTATTAATAAAAATTAATCATCACGTCCAATAAAAATTCACAATTTGTTCAGGACAGAATGAAATTATTCAGGAAATCAACGGAACATTTAGACTCACAATATCCTAAAAAAGACATCTAAGGAATCATAATGAAATTATTTCATAAAAATAAAATTCCCAAATCTATTCAGAATATAGAAATCCAATCAGGAGTCTAACATCTAAGTTTATATTGAGGTTTATGGCAACCTCAAAGGGACGATGATATATATATCTAGGGAAAGGATAATCTATGAAGATCTAAGATATCTTTTGGAGAAATTCATACTTCGATAAGATTAACGTGCGGGACCTACAAAGGCTTATAGACCTCCTAAAGAGATCGAAAAACAAAGAGGAGGGCGGATCGATCGTTCACCTTCTCGATCAACTCGATACAAGCTAGCAAGTCCATGCCAAAGTCAATGAATTGCCAGACGATGCCCTCCTTCTTGTACTCTTCTTGCTCGAGAACGAACATGTGATGATTAAAGAACTGCTGTAACTTCTCGTTGGTAAAGTTGATGCAGAGCTGCTCAAAGCCGTTGAACTGCGAGATATCGAGGTAACGAAATATGATTACGGGTTAAATTCTCTGAGAAGATTTTTCGTTCGACGGAGACTCGAAACGCCTTGTGAATTACGATTCACTTCTCGTCATGCTCGATTTTGAGTGTCTTTCTTTCCTGTTTTACTTTGTCATAGGGAAAAGTGAAGTCTGTATGGATCGAAGGTACGAAAAATTCTTCGTACCTTCGGTATTTTCTTTTTCCTTGTATTCGATTATATTTTCGTTCACGTCGACGATTCGAAAGAGAAGTTTTTGACTGCATTTGCTTTCTCTTTCTTACAATATTGTTGTTCTTTTCTTGATATTATACAAAGAACGCTGAAAAATTCATATAATGGCAAAGAAATTTTTTTTATAATTCTTTACATTAAATATTTAGATAATTAGAGATAAAATTTGATTGATTAAAATTTTCATCTAAAAATAAATTTGCTTTCTGTAAAAACTGAGATTCGCAAGTATCTTTTACTTTTAATAGTTTGCTATTTTTTTTGCCCAGTTTTTAACTTTTATGCCAAAGATAAAAGTAAAATATTATTTTGTCATTATATACATTTTTCAGGCTACCTTATATAAAATTTATTAGAAAAATATCTAATTAACGACAAAATAACCGAATGTAAATTACTGAAATCTTGGCAAAAATTTTATACAAAAATCGTCGACGATCACGTTACGTATATACGTATATGTGTGTCTATATATTTATTAATCGCAGCTCGGGAGAAACTTACGTCGAAGATCTCGAAACCGGCAATATCCAGTACACCGATAAAGTGCTGCCTCTTTTGCTTGGTATCCAGGGTCTCGTTACACTTCTTTACCAGCCACTTGAATAGCCTATCGAACATCGCCTTTGACATGGCGCCTACGGAATAGGCTACCTGGTCCTTGTTACGACCCTGGGTGACGAACTCGTTACCGACCTTGATCCTTGGCTTCAGCAAGTTCTTGTAAAGGTCGGCACAGTCGCAGCCAAGCAGCTTGGCCACGCGGTCACCTTCCTAAAGTGTGAAATATGATCAGTCTTTCTTGCAACACTCTTTCTCATCGCACTAAAAAAAAAAACGAAACAGTAATAGCTTAATAAAAATAGATTTTAACGCTTATAATTTCTGACTCAAAAAAATTTCAACGTACGTGTAAAAAAAAATTGGAATATAATTGTATGAAAATTTAGTTCGAAAAATCGATTGATAGATATGCACCTAGATTTTTATTTTCTGAAAATAAAAAAGTGGACGGCACATTTATAAATATAAAGCAAAATAATTTCTTAGTTCTAAAATATTTAGAATAACCTTCTTAATTAGAAATTTGTTTAAAAAGTATAAAAATAAATAAAAACTATTATTGATAATTGTGGCCTCTCAGTAGCTATTCAAAGATACGTACTTCAGTGCCATCTGCTTCAGCTTGTTCCTCACGACCCCTTTGCTTGAATTTCATGCCACCCATGTGCATAACAGCCGCGGTGATTTTGTAGATGTCATCCTTCTCCTCCTGGGTGAAGCCCAACACGTCGAAAGCTTGCTGTTACCAAAAAGAAATCTCGTTAAACCTTCATTTCGCGACATTCTCGTATCAGAAATTGTTTAAAATTACGAGGAGTTGATTCACGAAAGATATAAATTTTTCAGACGTACTTTATACATCTCATGGATCTTTTATTATTTAAATACGAAATTTTGTTGCAGACGCGAAAAAAATCAAAAGCTACATTTTATTGATAGATTCAAAGATTCTGAAGGATAATTTAACAATGCTTTATCATCTATCGCAAATCAAATTTAGAAAAGAGATCAGAAAAGCGAGGATCCCCAATCATTCCTCGGATATGATTCTCGTTATTAATTTCCATAAACTTACATAAACGAGTGAGAGTTAGTGGAAATACACAAGGACAGCACAAACGCTCCCACGCACGCCGAACGATCGATGCAACCGGTTACGGTGTAAACTAGCAAGAAAGCTGACCTTATTTGTTGTAATTTCAATGTTAAATGACTTCTTCAACGTTATTTTAATGATAAATAACGTCAATTATTTTCTGGAAAATCGTTCAGCTATATGTAACGTACGTGGAAGCTGTGTGAAAAAGAAGAGAAAGAGAAAGAAAGCCAGCGTGGCATAAAAGCCTGGTTTCACCACAATGTCAATTAAAATTAATTATTTTACGATCGATCAAAAAGCTTATTCTTGTTTTAAAAAATAACAATTCTGACAAATTGCGTAACAATGTTTCCAAAATTTTCTCTCAGTTTGTAACTATTTTTTTTTAATATACATTTATCGCGTATATAAAATTTGATAACTATCGATTATTATAATCCTAAATTAAATTTCTCAATTAATTGAATCAGAATTAAAATTAATCGATGTCGAAATCGCTCGTAAAAATTTAACTTTAATCGCAGATCAGTCGCTTTCTCTCTCATTTATTTCCAGTTGTGTAATTCTGGAAAAAAATCGATTGACATTGGTAAAACCAATCAAAGTGTTCTTGCAGCAACAGCGAGCCAAAAAGCGAAAGCGAAGCTCGTGTTATATGGCGATAGCTTCTTTTTTCTAAGCTCCGGATATCAACGCGAATTAACACTGCCTACGTGGTCTGTCAGGACCATAAAGTGCCAGAAAAAGAGTAAGAAGAAGAAAATTTGAAGATGATAAAATCACGAGCTTGATCTCTATAGATCTCTCTAGATCGCATTTGTCGCGAACTGTCTCTTTTGTGATAAAAAGACCTTCAGGGTCAGCCTGAATGATTCCTCGCGGTCTTGGTTCCAACCCCCTCGCTTCTTTGAGGGGCAGTTTGGATCTTCTTTACGAAATTCAACGTCGCTTGATGAAATTCTCGATCGATGAAGAATCGCTTCCTTGAGGCTGCGTCTCTGATCAAATCTACCAAAATTTCAACCAGGGATGGAACGTTCTCACAGGGAGAATAACTACCATAGATGGAAAAGGGGTAGGAAAGTCAACAGGGTTGTAAACTACTGGAATATGATGCTCGGAGTATCGCTGAGTTTCTTTAAATCGAGATGAGAAAGAATTTCTTTTAAGAATTCTTAAATTGCTCCAAGTTAAAAAAAACTGGAGTAAATATAATAAAAAAGGGGGGGGGGGGAAAAACTCGAAAATATTCTACTATATACATAGTTACTATATACATAGTTACTATATAGCAGTCGATAATGTAGCAATAATCCAGCTATCAAAATTATTTAATTATATATATGCATATTTAATTCAATTTTACGTTTTTGAAATTCAATTATATTTTCAAAATTTCAGATTAATAAAATTTGAAATTAATAGTAAATAATATTAAATAATAATATTAAAATTTTGTCAATAAAGAATATTAATAGAAAGTATCGCTACCGAATATAAGACAATATATAATAATATATAACAAAATTATACTAAATAACATTTATAAAAGAAATATTAATCTTATATTAAAAATATTGCAACATAAATTTTATCGAATTTTTACACGTATTTAAATATTCAAATAATAAATTAAAATAAAAAAAGGTTTTACAATCTATATTATCTTTGACATCTTTGCCTAAAAAAATAAATAACAAACAATATAAAAGTATCCAAGATAATATTAAAAATATTAAATTAAGACTACTATTATTATTGTTATATATTTTGATACACGCAATAATTAAATTTTTAAGAATAATCAAAGAGAAATTAAATAATTTAAAAAATTAATAAGTTTTACAAAACTAAAAATTTTAGATAATTGCACAAAATTATTGCTCATTGTTGTCCGCATTTGTATGTTCCGATAAATCACTATCTAAGTCAGAAAAACCATAACGATGTCGATCTTCAAAAGATATTTTATCCTTTTAATAAACAAATTATTGTCTTTTTATTAATTTTCATTACTATTATAACTTTTTATTACTATTATGACTTTTCATTACTATAAATTTTCATTACACTATAAACCGTTAATTTTAATCTATTGATTGTATTAATAAAGTGTTTAAACGAGGTTTCTTGATCGACGTCGCTGATATAAGATGGGTTTATATATCCTTATAATTTAAAGGTACGGAGAAAAGGTAAAAATACGAAAAAAGGGAAAACTTTTACAGGGCGAAAGAGGAAAGTCGTTTTCACAACTGGGGTGATATCTAAGGACTTACGTCCGTCAGCAAACATTCTTCGCCATCATCGACGTTGGGGATCGTGATTTTTCCTTGGGACACGTTGACATAGTCGTATATGTTGTTGGATAATAAACAAATATCTGTGAAGCAGTTCGGAGAATAAAGTTCAGTTTTAGATTTTGTTTCAGTTTGTTTCTAAAGATCCAGGACTCGATCCAGCCTTAATCAATCAGTAGTCATTGTTGATTTGTGACACGCGACACCGAGCTTCAATCGTTAATCAATTATGTTATCAATTTTTAAGACTCAAAAGATCCATCGCGAGAAAAACCTTTGAGTATATCTTTTCCAAAAAGATTAAAAAAAATTTAAATTTCGAATTTGAAATATTTCCTCTAGCAAATTTTTATAAAATATATTTTTATAAAATATTTTCTCAAAAAAACCTCTTTGTTCAACATTATTTTAAACTGAGAAACAATTTTTCAATTTTGTTGTCAAAAAAATATATCTTTGTTTAAGGATTTCTTTTCATTCTTCCATTTAGCAAAAAGATCTTTTTGGGAGATGATTGAGTCACGAAAAAGACGAAGAGATTGCATTTGCGAGCGCGTGTTTTCAACAGTCTGGACATATACAGGACGGACGATAATAGTGTGATGGGCGTATCGGGGAGCGGGTAAATGGGGGCGATGAGTCCCTATTTTGACAGAAGAGAATATATCTTCAGCGTGAGAAAGTCTCGCGCTCCCAATCTCCCCGCGCCCCGATTGCGGCAGGCAGCTTTCGCAGGCGGGGGGCGAGGGGGTGACGATTCCTCGGGCAAACTTCAGCATCACTTTGTTTCTTGCTCAATAAGAAAAGCAGAAAAATAATTATTTTTATAAGCTATATTGAAGTTTAAAATTAAGGAGATCCTAAAGACCTTCTGATGTGTGATCGCTGTTTTACCGATAAAACACGACACAATACATGATTTACAATACATACATACAATTTACGAAACATTGACTACGAAACATTACTAGATATTACTACATAAATATCGTACACATACATACATACACATAAATTTTTGTAAGGCTTTCGTATCAAATTAGATACGTAATTCTAATTTACGTAAACTTAATTCTAAGAATTCAATGTTGTTTTTTTCGTATAATTTACATGTCTGGAGACTCTAATTTTGTAAGTACAGTTTAGCAATTATGCTTTTATATCAAACAAATGTCACTTGATAACTTTAGACGTTATATTCGATTAAAAAAGAGATTTCAATTTAAAAACAAATAAATAAAGAAGACTATATTTGATTAATAGTGAATTAGTACATAATATATATAAATTTTTACAATTTCCAGTTCAAGCAAACTTTATAATTTGTAATTTACATAAAAATAATATTTTTGTTCCTTTTTACTTTATTTTCTGAGTTTATTTTTATTTAGTAATGATCAATTAAAAATTTTTTTCACTCTCGACATAAACTCCACCTATCAGACATGTGTCTCAATGCTTATACTTTAATTCTAAAAAAGAGTTTCAAATCTGTAAAAAAGTAATACATACGAAAACCTTTCACAAAAATTATTACGTTCGGTAAAACAGACGATTTTAGGATTCCCTTAAGCCATCTGAATGAAAAAAATAAATATTTAATTTTTTTAACTCTGCAGTTTTGTAAATTAATCGAATATGCAATTGCGATTATATAATAATTGAAATGATCATTGAGATAGCTGGTTTTAATTATTTAAAAGATAATTACAGTATAGGTATCTCTCTTTCTTACAAAAGTTTCTAATTACTTCTTCCACAATAATATATTGGTTCAAAATAAGTCAATATTTTTAAATAATTTCATAAGAAGCCAGAAGGGAGTCTGAATTTCGCCGAGGTTCGAAAACACCCTGGGGGCTGGACTTACGTCCGTTGTATCCATGGCTGCGCAATCGTTGACTCCCGGAATTCTGGTCTTACCCTGGTTAATGTACCTGTAGTCGCTGATCCGGTTGCTCAACATAGTTTCTGTATTAGTTTCTGTATTAGTTTGTTCTTTTTCTATCCATGCTCGATCTTGTAATTGGCAAGCAAGTGCGATCATCGTCAACCCTTTCAAGTCTCTTTGTTTATCATATAAAAAGTTTACCTTTTCTTTCTTGGAAAATATTTTTTAACCAAATTAATTCGATAGTTGATTTGTAATTAATAATTATTTTGATGAAATTGATTTGGAATCTTAAGTCACAAAGTGACTGGTATCGTCGATGCTCGCAATAGAAAAGATAATAGCAAGTTATTATCGGCGAGTACTTGCTGAAAAAAATGAGAGTGCGATAGAGAAGAAGAAAAGAGAGAAAGATATCTCTCAAAGATATGTTTTTCTTTATAAAGAAAAATAGGGAGAAGTTGTAATAATGTACAGATGTCCGCATGTAACGCTGTAAGAATATATTCTGTTAATCACGTGGCACATTGAAGAGCTGCAATGGAAATATAGAAGAGCAGAAAGAAAGAGAAAGAAAGAAAGAGAAAAAACGTTGAGAAATACAGCTAGCACATAAGAAGAGATAATAACATAGATAAACATCTTCATACTAAATACAGGATATGTAAGTAGAAGCTGACACCAAAAAAATTCAAAATGAAAAAGAATCGTCACTCGGTGAAGTATTCAGTGAGCGATGACACTTTTCCGGAAGCAGTCGCTGTATACGGAAAGGCGACAATTATATACACAGAGGAGCTAGTGCTTAGAGAATTGGACCAGCGGGCTTGGAGAATAGAAATTTTTATACACAATAAGACGATTAAGGTATAAAATTAACTATTTCAGAACCAAATTAAGATTACTACACAAATAAATAAGCAAAAATCTTCTTTTATAAAATGGTATAAATACCATATTAATAAATGGCTTTTCCGCAAAATGGAAATTAAACAAAAGGAAAAACGCGCATCTAAATATCAGTTACATAATATTTTTAAAAAAATATTCTTATTAAGAAATACGATAAATATAATATTAATATCACGTAAATCTGATAAAATACAACGAAAGGTAAAAGCTATAAATAATATATTGCATAAATATGAGTTAAATAATTGTATATATAAAATAATTTAATCTGGAAGTAGAGCTTCCAAAAGTTCATTTAATTCCTATTATCTCAGTGGAATTTTTTTTACTGGCGTAATCATTGACGCCGGCTGGTCCAGGTCGTTGCACTTACATCGGTAACCAAAAGCTCTTCGCCGTCATCGAGGCCAGGAATCGTCGTCTTGCCTTGCGATACAAAGTAGTAGTCGGTGATGTTGTTGGACAGCAGACACATCGCTACAGGGTGACCGAATAAAAAGAAAAAAAACATGCGGGTGGTTAAAACAACCGATGGTGGGCCATGTTTTTTAGTGGCTTTCCATCGTGCTACCTAAAGGGGTTGTATCTACAGGGGATACAGGGGATCTATGAACCCTTGCGAGTCCGCGGGTTCTCTCAACTGCGTCTCAAAGTAAAATACTAGAGGGAAAAAGATAACAACAAAGAGATCCCACCTGTGCTCATTAGGGGATCATCAGCTCGACGAAGAAACTATCAAAGTGCCTGCCTTCTCTTCAGAAAATATTAGTTTTTCTTTTCTTATTTATAAATATATATATTTTAATTTATCACGAATTTTTTCGAGCTGTGACATAGCAAAATTAATTAGATTTAGATTAAGAAGAACTTTTTAAAACTTCTCGAAAAGTCTGCCTTTTTATTCTTAATATTTATTCTTTTTTGAAAAATATTATGATATATATTTCTTGTTAATATATTTTAACGGGTTATTTTCATGTAATGTTTCTGTAAACATTTTTATGCAAATGTGCTTCATTGAATTCTTAAGGAATTTTCTGAAAGCTTCTGAAATTTCAACAATACATGTATAACAATTTCAAGATAGTTTCTTCGTCTACGATGTCAACGTTCGGTACTCAGAATACTACACTAAATGTACGTTTCTACAGTATAGCTCTGCAAAATACCGCTGCTCCTTTTGCGGATTACGCCTTTGCTAGGAAATTATATACAAAATGTTCCAGCTCTCCCTCTTGCAGCGGAGAGATCTACTATACAACACGCTATTCTACGAGAGATACGTTACTGTCGTCGTCGAATCTCTATTTTGGAATAATAATTTAATTTCATTTTTTTCCTAAGGAAACAAAACCAAGTGATCTTAAATAAAATTGCTTTAAATAAAATAAGTTCTTTAATTTATCAGATTAGTTTTGATTTTTTTCAGTAAAGTTAAATTTTAATTATATTTAATCTAATTTTTAAAAAGTTAGATCTAAATTAAAATTACAAAATTCTAAAAAAAATGGAATTTATTTGGAAATTATAAATTTCTCGATTTCCCAAATTTTATCGATTAAAATGTTTACAAACTTGTCATATTTTTGTACATTTCTTTGCTTCGAAATTATTAATGGAACTAAGAGTAGATTTTCTTCCATTTGAAATTATTAATAAAAATCAGATAGTAAACGCGTAATATAAAACTACTTAGTAAATATTGAACTACATTATCCGATTAAGAAAATCGATCTCGAAAGACACGTTTCTCTTACAATACCCCGTTCTAGAGGCGTTACGAATTGCCTGCTACAGTTCCTCCAGGCAACGCGATATACGGTTAATCCACGAAAACTGCCAACTGTGGCCAGCAACTGAGTCTAAGGTATCATATACAAAAGTAGTAAATGAGAGGCGAGAATCCTGCGATATATTCGTCATCGTCAGGTCCTTACGTCGGTCAGCAGACACTCCTCGCCGTCGTCGACGTTTGGGATCGTTGTCTTGCCCTGAGATACGAAGTAGTAATCGTTGACGTTGTTCGATAGGAGGCATATCTCTGCGTGGAATGAGGATAATTCGTGAGAAATTTTGCTGGTTCGTGAAAGGAAAGAGGGCGACCTTCCGGGCGATTACACCCCAATTCATGCGCGGAACCTTTCTTTCTTCCAGGCTCCACAGCACCTATCTCATCTTACCGATCTAATCACGTTATTAGCCAGAGCGTTCCCGAGCGCTCTAAAAATAATCGCTATCTCGAGAAAAAAAATCAATTTATTATATCTAAAGATAACTAATTGTATGTACTACGTTTAATTCAAAAGAATTACTGATGACGTTGCCATGCTATAATTGATATTTCTTTATTATGTACAACAAATATGTAAATAATGTTTCATGTACAAATAATTAATCTTTCTCGAGGTAACGATAATTTGTCGACATGATCCTATAGGGAGGAAATATAATTCATGGGAATCGACGTGTAAATCCTGTTTAGATTTCGATCGGATTTCACTTTCTTTCACGAGGAATATTAATGATCTTACCCTTCAGTCCCTTGACTGAACCGGACATCATCTGATAGAAGATGTGATAGGAACGTTCGAGGGTTTGTTGAGAGATGACACGAGCCTTCTCCAGCAGATCTGTGTATGAAAAGAACATTATGTTATAAAATATACTTTATCTTAAGAAATATATTTTTTGTCTATAAAAAAAGTTCTACGAAAGGATTTACTTTTTAAAGGCAAAACATAAAAAAAAGGAATGTACAGGGTGTTCCAGAATAAACCCTTGTACTTAAAAAATGACGTATTTCTGATATAATTTTAAGACAATTTTTCCTTTGCACCCCCCCCCCCCCC